TGAAAACATAGTGAGTCTGGTATTCAAACTCGCAGGATCAAACCCAGGTCTTAAATCCTGATGTGTAGGCTCTTCCCATTCTATCAAGCAAGGCAACCCTGAAAAGCCACTAATCACCGCCGACCACATCACTCAGCATAGAAAGAAGAAAAGTATGTTTTATCTGATAAAACCGCGTCCTCTGTTGGCAAAATGTCCACTGACTGGAAGCTTCGGGAACAGCGGGTCCTCAACCAGAAAATGAAGACTGTTCTCGATAGAACAACTAGTATTGGATCACCACTTTCCTGCTTTATAGACAAGCATGCTAAACGCCGACGGCACCACATTCAATCAATATCAATAGTTGTCACAGTCATACTGTATGTATACACGGAAAGAATATGATGATTGGTAACGGAAAGTCATCCTGCTGAAAGAAGTTTAGTGTTGATTTTGCGTTGTCTCCTTCACTCAAGAGAATACTAAGGAAGCACCGGGTGGTATTGATGTGGGTTCTATATATCCATATTGATTGAATTAACCCGGTCCTACCATTCAACCAACCTGTTACATTCTCTCGGACACCGATCTTGGTACATCCATAGTTTCAATACCAACAAGCCATCTTTAAACCGTCTCGGGTGCTTGTTCTTCGAAGATCAAAGGATGCTTCGCCATATAATCCTTCACGATGCTCAGCGATTGCAGAACTTGGGACTTTTCAAGATGCGCTGCCACTCCAGTGTAGCTTGCTTCCATATGACTGTGGCTCTGGCTTATCCTAAATGACAAGCCTGGCCATCGCTGTTGTTATTTGGTTGGATAATGGGCTGGTGTAAGCCTTGGTGATCTGTTGGCCGGCCACCGACAAGCGCTCCGGATGCATCGCTGGTCAAAACTGACGATTCGATCCTCGCTGCGCTTGCAGAGCCATTTGCAGGTGGTATGGGTCCAGGAGTGAAGGTAGGGACTTGATTGCTCGAGCACAAGTCGGAATCCGTATATTGGTTGCAGGGCTCGGTACTGAATTTTGTGGTTCTCGGGTCAGACGTGAAATGAGACAGCATCAAATGAATGGACAATCCAAACCTCTCTCTCCCGGGCTTAGTTAGAGATACCAAGCTGGTATCGGCCTTTAGTTGGGTGGGCTTAAGCTCGCTGCTTCTCTTTGGACGTTGGCTACTTCGGCGCATTTCACCTTCCTGACGTTTGCTAGACTTGGTTCGTACAACCTCATCAGCCTTCCCGGCTTTGGAACCATCTTTCTTGGGTCGAGGTTCGATAACGCAATATTTGGGGCGCAAGGGTGGAGGAGAGGGAGAGACCGCGGGAGTTGCCAAGCAGGGTGATGGAGCAGGTAACCCGTAAATTAAGTCCCGGGTTTGAAAGCCAGCCTCAAAAGACCTGTCGCCAACGGCTGAGTGGTATGATGAAAGGCATTGCGGTGAGGTGTATGAGTATGGGTAACTCATCTGACCAAATGCGAACTGGTCCCCGGTGTCCATGTTGATCCGGAGTGGAGAACCTTGAAAGGACTCGCTATTCATTCCAAGCATATAAAGAATTAACTAATTCAGGACATTTCTCAATAGTGAACGGTATATTCAACAATGAGTAAGAATGAAAGAGATAGTTCCGGATCGCCGGGGAGTAGGATAGATCTCTATTAACGAGAATTGGGGGAAAGGATTGGCGCTTCTTTCTCGCTCTCAGGGCATTGTACTAGTGAAATGCTTTAACCACATAACATATTATGTGACCATGCTCTCATTCCTATTGAAAGATAGCGTAAAGGCACCAAACTTGGATCTTGCCTGAAATAGTTCGTCCGAGCAAGCCGCAACTGGCGCCAACGTCGGGTCTGAATCATAACCGGTTGCATGACCTGGTCTTAATGGCTGAACCTTGCTCGCAGGGCCCCGCGGCAACTGGATGGATCAGCCCGTGTTTCCAGGTCGAGTGCATAGCAATAATGCCAAGCCATACGTAGACAATACTAGGGGTAATCTGGCACGTCGGCCCATGGTCGATCCATTGCCCCTCACATTCTGACTTCTCTTCATCTTCTTATTCTAGGGTATTTATCAGGGTCACACTCTTTGGTATTTCACGAAAAGACTCAACTTTCAGAATGACCTTTAAACGGCTGAAAGGCAGCTCCCATGGCGTATCAGCCCAAAATGAACCGGATTCAGGTGAAAGCCTGACAGTGATGAATGGGCGTATTCTGCCAGACCTGCACAGAAATGCTTCGGTACCATGCTTTCATACTAGCCCTTCTTTTCTAGATAGTCTTATGGCTAATAAAATGTCAAGGCCCAACCAACGTCGGCTCCGATGCACGACAGTCAGGACCAGGTAAGTCTACCCTAAAGCCAGTCCGTATATTCTTGTACCTTCCAACGACTGTTACTGACCATTTCTCTTTTTTTCGCATGAAGCGACTATCCCATGATAGACATATTCCGTCTAGTCGGCTTCTTCCCAACCCCGATGAACGGAGACAACAGGGTACCTATGACACGCCTCTCAGTACGTGGCTTGAGTATTGACTTGCATTACTGTAGCCACCATCGACTGCCGCCGGGGACCTCAAGGTATCGGTCATGAAAACCAACGAACGTATACCTTCAATGGCTGCACATTCGATAACACAAGCATGGTAATTATTGGAAGCGCAAGCTCTAAGAACGAAACTGTGGTCCTCCGTGATGCTAAAAATGGCCGAGGCTTTTTTGCCAATGGAGACATGGATAAAGAAACCTTCTTGAGGGAATTCTGTGGAAAGAAGTAGTTTTAGTGGAAGCCTAGGATATTATGCAGCTATTTTCTCTTTGATTTGATATGGATCAAGTAGACATGCAAAGCAGGTCGAAGCTACCGCTCAATACCTCCCAGCAAGCCTTAACTCCCCTTTGTATTCTGTGCTATTCCGCAATGGGATGATCAAAACAGACCGAATATACTGGTTCTTATTCTATACCTCCCAAAGTCTTTTGATGCGGGGAGTCCAAAGGAGGTAGCTGCGGGATAGTGGGCTTGGAAAGGGAGAATATGGGGGTTCTCTGGTATTCTCGACGACAAACGACTGCTGACATGCAGGTACGCAAAGAGAATTGGGGGCACAGCTTGAGTATTGAACCGAGGAATGGACTTGGTGGCTACTGAATAGCCTACATGCAGTCTGGCAGAAGGATGCGCTCAAATTGTTTGAACTTGGTGCGAAGACTGACCATGTGAATCTTTCCCCACGACGTGGGCTGCATTCGCCTATCAGACAGAGCACTAGAGCCGAGCCAAGCTTTGAAGATTTATCACCAGTTGTACCTCCTTCTGAATTGATGACAGACCCTCACTTGCATCACGATACTCTTCATGAACGACCACAAATAATGTGATTGAAACTTCAACCGCTGTAGCTTCGGCTGAGGTTTAGAGACAGTATTCTAACCACAACAGATAACGGTAGAGTAGAGTATGCGGGGGTTTGATCATACGGGTGATGTCTATCACGTTCAAACGACAAAGCGTGAGAGCTGTCTGGTGCGGTCGCAGGGCTTCTGGCTGGCGTCCGACTAGCCCTTGGAACCAGGCCAGGTCTTCCACCCGGTGGCATTGAAGAATTTTCTTACTCCAAGAACAAGAGGCCGATCCTGCTTGCCGACATCAGCTTTGTACGGTGTTTTGGTCGAAAAATCTCGAACAATTATGCACGACGATCGGCTAACGAAGAGACGGATGGGAAAGGCCAGGAGCTCGGTGGGCCTGAGGATTGTCGTTGTTGGAGCTGGTATGATTCAACCCAAGTTTGAGTTCTTAGTTAGCTGAAAGATTCTTGGCTATCAAGGCATCTCGGTGGCTAGACCTTCCAGTTCAAGCCCAAAGAGCTTCGGTTGGGAAGGCTTTAGAGGCTTCGGTGAGATTTAACTTACCGGACAGGAGAACAAGAGGATCGGGGTTTATAACACGGACACGCATTTTGTTGACCAAAGAGGATGGGGGATTGATGATGGAAAGAGACAAGCAGGGCTGGAATACTCAAGAGGTGTGAGGGTGCGGTGGAGAGTAGACAACCCAAGGGTTACTTACCTAAAACAGACAGCCAGTGTTAAGTTTCTCCTTCACCCAAGCTTTTTGCCTCGCATTCCCAGGATCCAACAACAACGTACAATAAAGAGAACCGAGGTCCTTGGTTTATCGAAGCAGCCTTTACTCAACAGAAAGCAACATTTGACACTTTCCCAGCAACGACTGTCGACAAAGCATCCACAAAGCACATCCGAGGCAACGAAAGGATCCCTGACCCTCTTCAATCTCGTCCTACTTGGCTGTGCAGCCAGCGAAGGAGACGATGACGAAAGTATTGGTCTATTTGGGGAAGTCAAGAGCAGCTTCTCTTGATCGAAGATGTCTCCAGACTTTCAAGTGAGATCTCCTTCCTGGTCGGCCGAGTTTCACTCACGCGACATTTCCTTCTTCCTTCCATTCTCTCACATTCCTCCATGCGCTACAGATTCACTTATACATCTCTGAAATCAGCCAAGATTCTTTTCCGTAGACGAAGAGCTGACCTCCTACCCAGTTGCCGATCATCTCGAACAAGCACGAAGCGATCCTTCCAACGAGTGTTATATAAAATGACATGTGGTTCAAGGAGGAAAACCGCAACTCAGTCTGTCGAACCTCACAATGCTCTCTTAGTTTAAAACCCTGTTGCTAATAATCTTGAGATTCTGGCAGGTATTTCCGTGAACGAGTCGGTCCAACAAAGTGTACCATACGAACGAGAAGGTGCCAACGATGAATCCGTGCAACAAGGATACTCCTGTCGTCAAATCGGAAAAGAGTCATGGGGATGCGGAGTGTACGTGAGGCCTCAATCGTACCTCTGCATCCCCAAAATTGAAGACTCATGATGGAGCCAGTAACCCGGTAAAACTCTACTGAGCCCATGGTATCTGGACTAGATGATATCAACTCTATATCCAGAGAAATGCAGAACCACCACAAGAGGAAACGGCCGGAGATATGTGAAACAGTGGCTTGGAACTCAGTTTAAGGGAATAAGAGCAGTGATGTCCCAAAGCTGGGGAGAACGGCATTGAACCTCTTAGATGTGCACCGATATATCACAAAATATCCTCCCTGAATATCCGAAAGAGATTGGAATATGCATGAAAATAACAATCTGAACAAAAGAGAATGGAAAAAGCAAGAGACTATTCGCGAGCTCTGGGAAGAGCAGCCTCATTTGTCTTGCTCATTGAGTGTATCTGAGCTGAGCCTTTCTATCCATCTACCAATATCAAGATACAATCTTCGATTTTGGAATAGGTGGTACTCCTCCGCATAAATCTGTATATAATTCAACAGCTCGACCGCTTGGTCTCTGATAATATGGTCTCGCATGGGGCCTGAAGCAGTGATGCATTTGGTGAGGATGACATTGAGGCTTTCAAAAGGAGCAATCAATTGGAGCGCGCTATTTGATAATATAGGGATCAGTTTTGCATCAACTCCGATGATTTCTACTGTCCACTTATCAATTGTCTCAATTTCCAGGTTGTATGTGCGGAACTCCCCAGCGATCACGCCCAAAATTCTCAGTGCTTGTAAAACTTGAGCCTTTATGGCTGACTGGAGAGCATCAACGAGAACATGAGCAGAGCCAGTTTGATGGTCTGGAAGGGTTTCAGAGGACCAAGAGTGTGAGCCCTGCGTGACTGAATAGGGTCGCGGCGCTGGCGTTGTTGTCGCTGGACTGCAATAGTTCTACTTAGCACTGCAGAAAATACAAGTTTGAAAGTATAGCGATGCAAACCTTGTTTGATCATCTCAGGCTGGTAAGTTAGCCGCGCCAGTTACCTCAAATACCGTCCGGCCTGCACTTTTTGCTGTCCCCTGGGCGCGCCTGGGGCTCAACTGTCTTCTTTGCTTTGAGTGTTTCCGGCTAAGTCCTGGTCCATATTGTGCTTCTCTTCTTGCCCCGTCTCCGGTGGAGGTAATGTAGGTGTTGATTTATGCGGCAGCGTAGGACTTTTTTCTCGATGGGTCACATCTGGCCGAGAAGGTTGATACATGCTGCCACAACAATGAATTAGCTTGTAGTCTTTTATGCCCAAGAACACTGTGGAGGCGGTTTACCTGCACTCAGTTTGCTGAAGCCGACAGGAATATGAGACGAGGCTGTATCCTGCGTCCTGGCCAAAATGCAGGTCCGGAGATCGGAAGGGGCGATCAGCAATCTAGGGCATGACACTGATTTTACACCTGACTGGGAGCACAACACCAGAGGCACTCGTGTCCAGTAGAAATTCTAGCAACCAGACTTGGAAGGGTGAGTGGATCAAATGATAGGCGCTCTTTCCTCAAATAGGTGTCCCGAACTGGCCCGGACCAAGCTCAAGTTCTTAGTCTGAACCTTCAGATTACCTACTGCCTACATTGTTGGCCCGCGGCAAACGGACCATTTACATAATAAGCCATTTATAATGTGACAAAGTGGTCTGTTTGCGTTCATTACGATCAGAGTCCAGCATACGCAATGAACGAGACCCCAGCAGACCGTTGCATATGCGAGATTCTGCCTCATACTCTCCGTTGGTACCCAGGCAATTGGCAGGATCTGGTGATCAAATCAGTCGGGTCTAGCGGAGCATGACTTGGCCATCATTGGCCACATGCCCTCGATAGAGAGAAGCCCCGTTGACTTTTGCCTGAGCTCTCTTACGCTAATGGCCAGATTCGTTGACGCCCCAATGGCTAGCACTTCGCTGCAGGCCCACACAGCAATTTTACAGAAAATTCCCTCACAAAGTTATTACAGTGTACATGTATCTGTGGGTTTTACTAGTAGTAAATTACGGTACAGGAGGCGGCTGGCGTTCTTTCATCTTCACCTTCTCCATCGCAATCATCTCTCGTTAGTCTCAACGCTGTCTACGACAAACATTAGGATCGCTCTGTTCCCTAGGGAGTTATCGAGAGTGGCCCTGAACGGAACACGGAGCTTGGTGCAAATTGCTTGAGTACTCGATAGCGGGTCGAGCATCACAACTGATATGGTTCGGTTACAGTAGAATGGACCTTGTGATCGGCAGGACCAATGTTGCAGATAAGGATGCTATGTACATAGAGCGAGCCACCGCATGCTCCAAGACCCTGAAACTGTACAATATAGATCTCCCGTCAACGGGTGGCCTATATCCAGGGATCCTAGATTATCCTTCTCTTTCAGCTCTTGGAAGCCATAATCGATGTTGTGGTCCGTGTGAGATGTGAGAGGAACATGCAGCTCCCAAGGGGCGAAGATCCTGGCATTCGGGCCTTCCCTATAGGGTATGGTTCAGATTTCATACCCTCCTTAGTGTGCTAAATAAACACTGGTTATGAGGGAAACGATTGAACGTCGGTTCAATATCGCAGTCCGCCCAATCGCTATCTGTATCCCTTACATGGCTACGGGTCTGGGTTCACAGAGATCGATGTCGTAGTAATGAGCTCCTAATGGATACGGTAAGTGGCGTTTGTGAGCGCGGATATGATTTTTGTTTTCGGTGGGAGGAACAGCTTTCTTTTTCCAACATGTTCAAGTCTCCTTAAAGGGTGCATGGTAAGGATTTTCGAATTGACCAAGTACCCTGATGGGTCCTCTTTGGATAGTCTCGAATGGTAACGTCGACTTTGGAAAAGGTGAGTACAACCGTACAAAACTACTAAAATACATGTATCCAATCTCTGGCCTGTCAGGCGGTTCATATAAACATCTGCGTAATAGGCGCAAATTCTGCCACTGCATCCTTGCCACCATCCATCGCCACCACGTCACCATACTGCATATGCTTCACGACCGTCCCATGGAAGATGACTTCAACCTCCAATTTACCGATAAAGGGGGCTTTAATCCCTTCCTTGAAATCGTAATTGATAGACCGCACCTTGACCACTTGAGAATGAGTAACATCATCCGTTCCGGTGTTGGAAAAATCCATCGGTTTTTCCAATCGAGGAGGGTTGTTGACAGTGTTACATTCACTGTATGACATCCAGTTATGTGTCCAATCTGTTTTTAACTTGGTGCTGTCCATCTCCTCGCCGAGGGAGGGCTCCCTTGCCTTCATGAAGACAGCTGTGCTCTACACGTAATATTAGCTTGTGTCAGCAGGAACGGATAAAATAGCTCCCAGACCTTTGAGCGACCAAAACACTGGAAAAATTGGAAAATGTTCATGGCAGGCGGATGTTTAGTGATTAAGATCCACTTCGACATGCGCACCAACAAACCAACGTCAAGAGGAAGTTTGAGCAATAAATAAGTTTCATGGATAATGGAAGCGAGAACGGTCTCTCATACTCAGGGGTGGTAAAAAGGCTAGTTGTGCTGACATTACACATTTTCTATGGTTCAGGTATAAATCCTGCGGCATGGCCTGATCTATCCTCTTTCTGGATGTATGTGTGATAACCCCTGCTCACCGCACCCCTGCTGACCACAACCCATCTGATTCTAGGCACTCACGACCAATCCCAACCGTCATCATGACCTCAGTCACCGCGGAAAGGCTGCTATCAGACTTATCAAAGCAACTGGATATTTTTATTCGCTTTCTCAGTATCGACTTGACCTCAGTCATTCTAGAAGGAGTTTCGGACCAAGGATGCCTGCGGGCTGCGGAACTCATAGCAACGGGAGAGAACACCCACATCTGGTTACAACGGATCCAAGAAATCCACCAATGGACCAACCTGGCTTTGTGGGAGCAAGATTGGCTTCAACGGACTGGACGCAATAAGCCTACACCATGCTCGGGGTCCCATCGACTAGGCACCATGACCACATTCATCCAGGAAGAGAAATTATCCGAAAGTCACAAGACCAAGAAAGCACTCCAGCATGGGCGCAGACTGATACGATTTGAATATGAACTTGGACCTGGGATTACGCTTCTTTTCATACCAGTCCTTCCTGCTTTCCGCTGTTTGACCTTAGCTGAAGAAGCTAGGACAATGGAGATGCTGCGAGATGGTGACTTTGCGAACATCATGTATCAGGCGCAAGCTCTGGCTTGCCTAAGGTTCAATTATCAATGCATCCATGGAATTTATCCCGGTAAGCTAATACGGACAAGTCACCTATATTGTCTAGCTAAACTGTTCCCAATAGCAATGCCCTGTCCACCACATGAAGATCCAGCATGCCACAGCGCGGTTTCCACTAGATCTTCATGAAAGCAAAAGCTTCACGTGCTGATGATGTATCCATCCCCCACGGGTCCTTAGAAAACCCTTCCCAAACAAAGGATTCTCCAGCAGGCAGTGAAATTATCATCTTGACTCCGCCTCGCACGAAAAGGACTTCGTTTGATCGCAAATTGAAAGATCTCGGTGTTCGTCTTTCCTGTGCGTGCTGGGAGATTGGATAGAGCTTGAAGGTTGTCACTCTATCCCCCGGGTTACCTGAGAGGGTTCGGAACACCGAGACTCCATCTCGGCAAGGGTGGGCGGCATTGATTCCCCAGCTGGTTGGGCGATCGGACGAGTGGACGATGACTGGGCCTTGGTGGAGAAGGAAGGCCGGCCTTCCGATCACTTCTTCGACCTTCCTGGTGAACTGCCATTATATTTAGTTCTGTACAATGACCACTGAACTGAAGAACACACTTCGCTACCCTGGAGTCCGAATCTCAAGAAGTTCTCGCATGCATCATGATCCCCTCTTCCATACATAATCGGCCCTGACACTTCGTTTGGTCGTGATCGGAGCGATCTCTCCACCTCCGTGGCCATATTCTCGGGCGGCGAGTCGGCTGGGAGCATGCTGTATCCCATATCCTCCATGGCCGAGTATCCCATTATGTCGTCATACGACATGGCTTGTGCGGATGTCATATCTGTG